TGGCCCAGTGAAATGGATGTGCTTCCCAAACCGGAAGACGCCCATTGGCAGCGCCATTGATCTTTACTTACGGAGGTACGCACTGTCTGCCGCTGTTTTGACAGTTCTCATGTTTTCCAACTTGTCAACCTGTCCGCTTTAGGCAACTGGAGCTTCCAGATGAAGCGGTTCATCGACTTTTCAGTGTGCGGATCGAAGAGATTCATGAGCAAGACTTAGTGACTCAACTCAATGATTCATTGAGCATGCGAGGCCAATCGCTGGGAGATGGCTAAATCCATTGTCGAGGCAAGACCTAAATCGATAACTTCAAGCACATTCTTGTTAATTTACAAGCAGTCAGGTCCCCCAAAACCAAAGGCCGTAAAGAAGCACATACTTGTTCTTACATGTTCTTACCACTCTCCATGGGGCCTTGTGCTCCAGGACCTTCGTGCTGGTACCACTATCATTTGCGACCGCTACGCCTTCTCTGGGGTAGCGTATTCTGCGGCAAAAGGCCAGTGATATTAGATTCTGTTTGCACGAATCATCCACAATCATCCATTCTTTCCAGGTTTGGACTTTTCCTGGTGTCAAGCTCCAGACCGAGGGCTTCCATGTCCAGATGGAGTTTTCTTTCTGCACATCGACGAAAAGGCAAGAGTCAATTGACCAATGATCAGGTCATATCAGGTCATGCTGGTTTCCACCACGTGTGCTAACAGGTTGGCGCCTCGCGATCAAACTTTGGTGACGAGCGTTACGAGAATGCAGACATGCAGGCATTGCAACAAGTGTTAGCAGTGTCAGTGAAATCAAGCGAAGTCCAATCTCTGTGACACAAATACACAGTGTTCTCAGTTTTTCTCCTTTCCTTTCGCGGAGGCTACTGTTCGCACTCAGTTCAAGGATGCTCGACTTCGAGCACAAGTGAACTGGAGAGATGTGGATGGAGCACGGGACATGGAGGCGCAACCGTCCTGCCATGCCATGTTTCATTTGTTTTCCCCTTGGCTTTCCTTTATGCAGCACTCTTTTGGGATAGGAGTCTTGGAGCAAGATGGAGCAAGTTTTGTTAGGTGATTCACGCGGAGATTCGAACAGCTGTGGAAGCAATCCGACAGGAGGATCAGGACGGGGATGGGGACGAATGCAGTTGATTGAACATGTTGAGAAAGACGCTGCTTTGAGGAGAATCGACAGCGCCCAATCCAGCGCCTGTGGATCAAGTGAGAGTCTGGATGAGTCTGAGTTTCTTTCAATAGCTAGTTACCGGGGAGATGGTCTACAAGTTTCGCATGTATTTTCTTGTGTATTTATTGACGTTGTGCCACTGCGCAAGATTGTTGATATCCAACAAGATGAGATAGATTAATTCGCATGCCCAGCGGAAACCGCTCAGACCTGAGCGATTTGAGGCGATTGCGGGACGGGGGAAGGCAGATAGGTAAGATACATGGGTAGCCTATGGCCATGGCGCGAGCTGCGTCGCTTTGAGAGCTGTCTGCGAACGCAGAAATCCGTGCGTATTTCTTTTCCAACTCTCGAATCTGCAAAACACCATCCGCATCGAAGACCATGTGCTTTGCCATTCGCTTCCATAGCGTGAGCTTGTCAATTTTGCATCCGCAAGAATGATCAATGGTTATTTTGAACTTCACAAGCTGCACTGACTGAAGTTGAAGTTTCATCCTAATCCAATCCAAAACAGCAAGACTGGGCCAGACACGGTAGTCTACACTCTCTGCCACCAGGGCTGGACGGACTGATGGGGAAAGCTCTGTCTAGGAGCTGCTGGCAAATATTCACACTGCAGTTCGCAGGGAGCTGAGTGTTTTGCTGTGAGAAATCATCTCGAACTATTTGCATTGCAGGGGCTAACCGGGTTAGCCTTATTATTTTGTGCAAACCAGCGTGGGCAACCTATCTTGGAGTTGGTGACCCTTGTTGTGATGATGTAGATGTGTTGTGGCATCAGCTGAATTTTGTTCATCTTCCGCGCGTGGTAGTTGGGGTGTATGATTTGAGGAAACTGCCACATCGTCTGACACTCTGCCAGATGCCCAGATGTTTTTGAAGCTGAAGGACTTTTTCACCCACACGGAGTATCGAAACGCCCGGACTCAGGATGAAACACGCTGGTGGCTGAGTAGTTTATTGCTCTCCCTTCATTTTCCACAAAATTTGAATCTGAAAGAGACATTTGTTCTGAAAAGGTCCTGGCAGCGCGTCAAAGCGCCAACCAGCCAGGTCTCACCGATGTCACTTGGCCTGTTCGCTTGATTTCTGCAGCATGTCGTATGCTTATTCAGACCGTGTTCAAGGTGTGTGAAACCATGTGAAACCAGAGTGAGACATAATCAGGTTGAGCTTTCCAGAGTGAGAGATGCATTCAAGCTCCAAGACTTGTCGGCAGAGGCGCCATGAATCATGTGGGTGTGTTCGTCAAAGCCTAGATGCACCAAAAAGAAAAGTAAAGGTGTTCAGTTGGACACAAATGGTGTTCATTTCAGCATATGCACTTGGTAATGCTTTGACCTGCAACCATGTGATCAGTCTAAAACATGTTTCAGATACCTCTGGGTTGTCACAGGAGAAACCATCTTGGGGGTCCGCTTCTTCCCGTGGCCTCTTCTTCGTCTTCGAAGGTGGGCTAAGATTAGAAAGACCTTGAAAGGCATCGCTCTCATAGGCTGGAGGCCATC